AGGGCCAATCAGAATGTGCCGGCTGCGGAGGCAACCATTCCCGTGCCAAGTGTCGATTCAGAGACGCCATCTGTCGGAAGTGTTCCAGAAGGGGCCACATCGCTAAGGTCTGCTGATAGGCTCCGTCTGACACCCCCCCCTTCACCGACTCACAAGTCCAAGTCTCCAGTCCACCAAGGAAAGCTGTTTCGCTCTCACCAACTGCCATTGCCCATCTGGAACCACGATTGGCCAAACCGACTCGCCTATGCGACACAAGCTGAACGTCACGGTGCTCATTGAAGGAGCTCCATGTGACATGGAGATTGACATGGAGAGTCTGCCCTGTCCATCGTGTCTTGGAGCACCATCAAAAGACTGGTACCCAGAGTGTCCAAAAGGCAAGTCGACTCTCACCACGTACACTTGAGAGACTACCAGGGAAACGACATTCCCGTGGTAGGCGTTGGCCGGTTCCAGATCGCCTTCAAGGATTTTTCGGGCCTGCTCCGACTGGAGGTGGTCGAAGGGCAGCGGCCAAGCCTCCTAGGGCTAGACTGGTTTGATGCCCTCGGCCTGGAAGTCACCGGCATCAACTGCATCTCTAATGCAGAGACTGAGGGTCTGGTCAAAGACTTTGCCAAGGTTTTGGACGGCACTTTGGGTCAATATACAGGTACGCCCATCTCCTTTAGCCTTGATCCACAAGTCGCCCCCATCAAGCTAAAGCCACGCCAGGTTCCCTTTGCTCTCAAGGCTAAGGTGGACGAACAACTGGACAAGCTGATCGCCCAAGGAGTTTTGGAGCCGGTTGACCACGCCAAGTGGCAAACCCCCATCGTCACACCTGTCAAGCCAGACGGGTCGGTGAGAATCTACGCCGACTACAAGTCCACGATCAACAAGGCACTTCAGCAGCACGCTTACCTGGTTCCTGTTGTCCAACACCTGCTGCATTCCATGGGTGAGGGTAAGGTCTTCGCTAAGCTGGAGCTTGCCCAAGCCTATCAACAACTGCCCGTCGATGGTGGCACTGCAGAAGCCCAGACGATCGTCACCCACCGAGGGGCATTCCATTGCCGCCATTTGCAGTTCGGGGTGAGTGTGGCTCCTAAGATCTTCCAAAGCCTTATGGAGCGTCTCCTGCAAGGGCTTCCGGGTGTGGTACCATATTTTGATGACGTCTTGGTGTCCGCAGACTCATGCCAGCAGCTGTTCGAGCCCCTCCATGCCATGCTGACCAAGTTCCAGGAGGCCGGGCTCATGGTAAAGAGGGAGAAGTGCCAGATCACCGTTCCACAGGTGGAGTTCCTGGGCTATCTTATCAACGCCTCCGGCCTTCACCCGACCACATCCAAGATCCGTGCTGTCCAGCAGGCCTCCATCCCAAAGAACAAGACGGAGGCGTTCCTGGGACAGCTGAACTTTTATAACATGTTCCTGCCCCACAAAGCCACGGTGGCTGAGCCTCTTCACCGACTCCTCAGCACGAAGACACCTTGGTCCTGGGATCATCGGGAGACGGCAGCCTTCAACGCGGTCAAGGCTCTCCTTTCATCGGACAGTGTGCTGGTACAGTACAGTGAAGCCAGGCCGCTGGTCCTTGCCTGCAACGCCTCACCTTTTGGCATTGGCTCTGTCCTTAGTCACCATTTTCCAGATGGAAGAGAAGCACTGCTCGCCTACTTTTCCAGGACTCTATCTCCGACGGAATGGAATTACAGCCAGCTCAACAAGGAGGCACTGGCACTTGTGGCTGGAGTGAAGAGGTTCCATGAATACTTCTACGGCAGGACTTTCGACCTCATCACCGACCACAAGCCGCTCCTGGGCCTCCTCGCCAGTGATCGACCAACTCCACTGGTCCTCTCGCCGCGCATGCTGCGATGGACAGTTTTCCTGGCTGCCTACCACTACCGGCTCGTCCATCGCCTCTGGAAATTGATGGGCCATGCTGATGCCCTCAGCAGTTGCCCTCTTCCAGCGTTTGTGGAAGACCTGGCTCCGGCTTCATCGCTCCTCCTGATTGAGGATCTTCCGGCAGCGCCTGTATCGGCTGCCACTGTGGCCTCCGCATCTGCCCAGGATTGCACCATCATCCGTGCGCTCAACTGGGTGTGGAGGGGGTGGCCACAAGGGCCTTTTGCATTGGAGTTCCAGCCGTTCGCAACCAGGCAACACGAACTCTCGGCTCATCGCGGCTGTCTGCTGTGAGGAGACCGTGTCGTGATTCCCCAAAGACTCCGTCAACGCGTCCTTGAGGCTCTGCACGTTGGCCACCCGGGAATCGTCAAAATGAAGGCGTTGGCTCGGTGTTACGTCTGGTGGCCTAACATGGATGATGCCATCACTGCCTGGGTTTCCGCCTGTCAAGCATGCCAAGAATCTAGGCCTGTGCCGCCGGCCGCTAAGGGACGCATCTGGGAGACGCCCAAGACCCTGGTTGAGGGTGCGCATTGATATGGCCGGCCCCTTTCGCGGCCGGACCTTTATGGTAGTGGTGGACGCCTATTCCAAATGGCTGGAGGTGGCCCTGATGCCCTCCACCACTACCGAGGCAGTCATCCAGGTGCTGCGAGACCTCTTTGCGACGCATGGGTGTCCTGATGTCCTTGTCTCCGACAATGGACCGCAGTTCACGTCAGGCACTTTTGAGGAATACCTTTTGGGACTGGGCATCCGCCATGCCCTAACGGCACCATTTCATCCATCCAGCAACAGGCAAGCGGAGAGAAAAAGGGTTTTCTTGTGTGTGTTTCTTTTTTTTGAAAAAGGTTTTCTTATATGTGTGTTTCTTTGTGGCTGATTAGCTGCTCTCCCTGTGCAAAGGTCAGAGGGGGCAGGGTTTCTGTTGAGGCAGGTGATTAGCTGTGGGAGGAGCTTATCAGAGCTTGCAGGGCAGCGGCGCGCGCAGTTTGATCCATCTTTTAGATTTAGGGGAGCTAGTCTCAAACGTTTGTTGGGGAGACCTAGGTTTTTTGTGGGGAGTTATTTGTCCTGCCTTCACGCTTTTATGATGGAGGACCGCTGTAGCCACCCCCAACGACACGTTCTCAAGATGGAGGGGGAGGGAACAGCTGCAGTCGCCTGCAGTTCCTGCGCAATGTTTGCCATCTTGCCAAAGGTTGCAGGCAGCTTTACCTGCAGCAATTGCATGTTGATTGCCCTCTTAGAAGACAAAGTCCAGCAACTGGAGGAACGTGTAGCTACGCTCCAAAGAATTAGAGAGCTGGAGCTCTTCTTGGAAGCAACAGAGCACACCGTCTCCACCAAGGAGGAGACAGGGGACTCCCCTGAGAAGGAGGCTAGTTCACCAACACAGGAGCCAGATATATGGAGAAACGTGACTCAAAGAAGTAGGAGGCCCAGGGTTCGCTCTGATTGTTTAGAAATACACAATCGCTTTGAGGTCCTCTCCCCTAGCATGGAAGACAAAGAGCAGACTCCATTTGAGGATCTCTCCTCATTACAGTCGATCAGGTATATGAAGACGAGCAGCAAAGTCAGTCCTCAGGGAATGTGCAGGCGACCTTGGAACGGACAGCTCACGGAAGAACCCCGACCAAACCTAAGAGGAGGCGTGTAGTGGTGATAGGGGATTCCCTACTGAGGGGAACAGAAGCAGTGATCTGTGGGCCTGACAAGATGTCTCGGGAAGTGTGCTGTCTCCCCGGGGCTAAGATCCAAGATGTAACTGAACGACTGCAAGGAATCATAAAACCCACTGACAAATACCCCTTCCTCTTGGTTCATGTGGGAACCAATGACACTGCAAGCCATAGCCTCCAGAAGATCAAAAGAGACTACGAGGCTCTGGGCAGGAAATTGAAGCAATTAAATGCACAAATTGTCATTTCATCTGTCCTCCCAGTTGAACGACGTGGCCCAGGGAGAGAGGGAAAAATAGTGGAAGTGAACAGCTGGCTTCGCAAATGGTGTAAACAGGAACGGTTTGGATTCTTAGATCACGGACTGCAGTTTCTTGAAGATGGACTTCTGGCAAGCGATGGGCTGCACCTCACAACAGTTGGGAGGAATGTTTCTGCCAAAAATATCAGAAACCTCATCAGGAGGGCTTTAAACTGACTAATGTGGGGGAGGGAGACAGTGCTCCTGAAGGTAGGAGTCTATCAATTGATGAAGATGATCATCCAAATGTCATAGACCAAATGGAGCAAACAGCACGCAGACCTAGTGGTGGGAGGAAAAAATCCTTAAATAAGAGACACGGGGAATGATTAATGGACTTCAATGTCTGTACACTAATGCGCAAAGCATGGGAAATAAACAAGATGAGCTTGAGCTCTTGGTACAGCAAACTAAATATGACATAATAGGCATCACTGAAACCTGGTGGGATAAGTCCCACGATTGGAATGTAATAATGGAGGGATACAATCTATTTCAGAGAAACAGACCAGACAAGAAAGGAGGAGGAGTGGCGTTATATGTCAGGGATGTGTATACCTGTGAAGAGATCCAAGATTTAGAACCTCAAAGCCAAAGTGAGAGCATTTGGGTCAAAATTAAGAGAGAGAAGAATAACAGTGACCTCATTGTGGGAGTTTACTATAGATCCCCAAGCCAAACGGAGGACATAGATGATGCCTTCCTGGAACAGATGGCCAAGCATGCAAAAGGAAGGGAGATAGTAGTAATGGGGGACTTCAATTACCCGGATATTTGTTGGATGTCAAACTCAGCCAAGAGCATAAGGTCAAACAGATTCCTCACTGGCCTTGCAGACAAATTCATTGTCCAGAAAGTGGGAGAAGCAACAAGAGGAACAGCCATTTTAGATCTGGTCCTAAGCAATGTTGATGACCTGGTTAGTGGGGTAGAAGTGGAAGGAGCATTAGGCGCGAGTGATCATGCTCTTCTGAAGTTTACTATACAGCGGAAAGGAGCAGCCAAGCATACTAGGACTCAATTTCTTGACTTTAAGAAAGCCGACTTCATATTTGTTCGTGGAACACATCACCCCTCATGCGGCCATAGGGCGGAGTCCTGCTGAACTGCTTATGGGCCGCCGCCTCAGATCTCCGCTTGACCGGCTGCACCCAGACTTTGCCGTGGCCGAACCCCCAGGCTGTGTTCCAGGAAACCAGGTCTTTGCCCGGAACTTTGTGGGGGACATTCCTTGGGTGCCAGCCACAGTAGTGGGAGTCACTGGACCTTGCTCATACCAGGTGGCACTCGAAGACGAACGTTTGTGGTGCCGGCACATAGACCAGCTTAGGCACAGGGTTGGGGACTTGGACACTACCGCAGTGCCCCCAACTGTGCTCGTGGCTCCGGAACAGACACTTACAGATGGTGAGGCTCCACCTACACCTCTCTCGCAAACTGCCGGCATGGAACCGAACCAAGCTGCTTCAGAGAGTCTGCTGGACTTCCCACAGACTCAGACCACTGCTGTGCCTGACATTCCGCCAACTCCACTTGCGGATGTTCCACCCACAGCAGCGGATCCAGGGGACTTGGTTTCAACGCCACCTAGGGTCGTGCCACAGCCTCAGCAAGAATCGGGCGGTCCCCCGAACCTGGGTACCGCTCCCCGGTGGTCTGGCAGAGTTTCCAAGTGCCCAACTTATTTAAAGGACTATGTTGTTGGACATGTAATACTGTCAGTCTAATGGAAGTAGGTGAAATGTAACCGATATGCTTTTGTGCCTAATTGAACCATTATGTGTAGTGCTGTATATAATAATAATAATAATAATAATAATAATAATAATAATAATTTATACCCCGCCCTCCCCAGCCAAGGCCGGGCTCAGAGCGGCTTACAAGCAATAATAAAAACAAGTTGAATGATTACAACTTAAAAACAAAATTAAAATACAACATTAAAATACTGAAACATTAAAATATTAAAATGCAGCCTCATCACAGGAGGAGAAAGGAAAAAGAAAAAAAGAGGGGGGAGGGAAACAAATTGGCTCCAAGCCAAAGGCCAGGCGGAACAACTCTGTCTTACAGGGCCTGCGGAAAGAAATCAGATCCTGCAGGGCCCTGGTCTCATGAGGCAGAGCGTTCCACCAGGCCGGAGCCAGAGTTGAAAAGGCCCTGGCTCTGGTTGAAGCCAATCTAACTTCCTTAGGGCCCGGGACCACTAGGGTGTTGCTATTTATGGACCTTGAGGCTCTCCGTGGGGCATACCAGGAGAGGCGGTCCCGTAGGTACGAGGGTCCTAGGCCGTGAAGGGCTTTAAAGGTCAAAAGCAGCACCTTAAATCTGACCCTGTACTCTACCAGGAGCCAGTGCAGTTTGAAAAGCACTGGGTGAATATGCTCCCATGGCAGAGACCCCGTGAGGAGCCTCGCTGCCCCATTCTGCACCCGCTGGAGTTTCTGGGTCAGCTTCAAGGGCAGCCCCGCATAGAGCGAATTACAGTAGTCAAGCCTGGAGATGACTGTCGCATGGATCACTGTGGCCAGGTCGGGGCGGGAAAGGTAAGGGACCAACTGCTTGATGCGGCGAAGGTGGAAAAGTGTCGCCTTGGCTGTTGCTGTAACTTGCGCCTCCATGGAAAGGGAGGCGTCAAGGATTACACCCAAACTCTTAACGGAAGGCAATGGCACTAATTGGGCCCCCGCAAGAGTAGTGCCAATTAGTGGGCGTGGTGGCGCTGTGGGTAAAACCTCAGTGCCTAGGACTTGCTGATCGTATGGTCGGCGGTTCGAATCCCCGCGGCGGGGTGAGCTCCCGTCTTTCGGTCCCAGCTGCTGTCCACCTAGCAGTTCAAAAGCACCCCTAAGTGCAAGTAGATAAATAGGTACCGCTTTATAGCGGGAAGGTAAACGGCGTTTCCGTGTGCTGCGCTGGTGCTGGCTCGCCAGAGCAGCTTCGTCACGCTAGCCACGTGACCCGGAAGTGTCTTCGGACAGCGCTCGCTCCCGGCCTCTTAAGTGAGATGAGCGCACAACCCTAGAGTTGGACACAACTGGCCCGTACGGGCAGGGGTACCTTTACCTTTACCTTTAAGAGAAGGGAGTTGGTCCCTCATCCCCATGCCATCCTGACCCAGCCATAGGACCTCTGTCTTCGAAGGATTTAGTTTCAATCGGCTCCCACGAAACCATCCAGCCACAGCTTCCAAGCATCTGGTCAGTGTGTTCGGGGCCGAGTCGGTGTGGCCATCCATCAGCAGATAGAGCTGAGTGTCATCAGCATATTGGTGACAGCCCAGCCCAAAGCACCGGATAATCTGGGCAAGGGGGTGCATAAAGATGTTAAAAAGCATCGGGGAGAGAATTGCGCCCTGTGGCACTCCACACACCAAGGAATGGCGCGACGACATTTCCCTCCCTAGTGCCACCCTCTGTCCCCGACCAGAAATAAAAGAGCACAGCCAGTTACGGGCTATACCCTGTATCCCCATGTCTGCGAGGCGGTGGTCCAGAAGATCATGCTCGACCATGTCAAAGGCTGCTGACAAATCTAAAAGGATCAGCAGTCCTGACCCGCCTCGATCCAGTTGTCTACGGAGATCATCTGTTAGGGCAACCAGAGCCGTCTCCATCCCGAAACCAGGACGGAAAACGGACTGAAATGGATCTAAAGCCGATGTTTCCTCCAGAAACCTACCAAGCTGTTCAGCAACCGCTCTCTCAATTACCTTACCCAGATATGGAAGATTTGAAACTGGGCGGTAATTGGATAGGTCTAAGGGATCTAATGAAGTTTTCTTTAAGAGTGGACACACTACTGCTTCCTTCAGTTCCCCTGGGAATGTCCCCGTGTCAAGGGACAAATTGATAATTTCAACCAGGGGGGTCCGCGCAACATCTGGACACTCCCTAATCAGCCAAGATGGGCACGGATCAAGGAGGCAGGTGGTGGGCCTACCAACTTGGAGGAATCTATCCACATCAGCAGGGAGTATCCGATCAAAATGGTCCAACACTGGACCTGAAGTCAGCCGAGGGGCCTCCAGTTCAGTCACTGTATCTAAATTGGCAGGGAGGTCACGGCGGAGCAACAGGACTTTCTCCGCAAAAAAGCTCGCGAATGCCTCACAGCTGTGGGTCGAATTTGTGCTTAAATTTGGTTGTCCTCCTAAGGACGTTATTGACCTAATTATTCTAAAAAGTTGTGCCGGGCAAAAGCTAGCGGATGCAATGGAAGCTGCAAAGTAAGATTTCTTAGCAGCTTTCATAGCCATCTCATAGGCTTTCATAAGTGTCCTATAAGATGTTCTTGAGGCTCCGTCACGAGTCCATCGCCATACTCGCTCTAGCCGTCTGAGATCCCGCTTCATTTTCCGGAGCTCCTCAGTAAACCAAGGGGCCCGGTTTCGACGGGGTCGCAGAGGGCGCTTAGGCGCGATCTCATCAATGGCTGCCAAGAGCCAGTTATTCCAGTCCTCAACAAGGTCATCTAATGAGTCGCCAGGAGGAGCAGGGTCCCGCAAGGCTTGTCGGAATCTATCAGGATCCATCTGTTCTCGCGGACGAGCTCCAAATAGGTTCGCCACCCGAGCAGGGGAGGAGCGGGAAGTCAATCTTGGCTTTCAGAGCGTAGTGATCAGACCATGGCACTTCCACAGGGGGGAGCATGATCACATCTATGCCAGCCCCAAAGATCAGATCCAGCGTGTGGCCTGCTTGATGAGTGGGGCCCAAAACAAACTGGGAGAGCCCTAGTGTTGCCATGGAAGTCACTAGGTCCAGAGCCTGTGAGGAGGGAGTGGCATCGGCATGGACGTTGAAGTCTCCCAAAACCAGTAAGTTTGGGAACTCCAAGGCCCAGCCCGCCACCACCTCCAGCAGGTCTGACAGGGTGGCTGCCGGTGTGCTGGGTGGTTGGTACACCAGCCAGACAGCCAAGCTCTCCTTGGTGCCCCACACGGGACCAACACATTCAATGCCGGAGATCACCAGTGATGGCAGAGCTCTGAAAAAGCAATCCTCCCAGTTTAACAACGCTACTCCTCCCCCCCCGACCCACAGTCCACGATTGATGGAGGACAGAGAAACCTGGGGGTGTTATCTCATGTAGGGAGACTACTTTGCCTTCTTGTATCCAGGTCTCCGGTCATGCAAGCCAGGTCAATCCCCTGCGAGACAAAAAAGTCACGCATGGTGGCGGTTTTGTTGCCTATGGACCTGGCATTGCACAGCACCGATGACGGAGGTGGGTAATCCTTGCTCTCCCTACCCTCATCCCTTGGTATGGGGTGTAAATTGGAAGGGGTTCGAGGATCACTGCATCTTGAAACCCTTCGCTGATAGAGATATCTAGCCCCACCGCCATTCCTCCCTAGCCCTTCAATAGTCGAAATCCCAGACCCCCATACTAGCCTCCCCAATAGAGGGGTAACATCCCCTCAATAACAAGTCATCCTTGGGCCAGGACTCCTGGGTCAAAATGGTATGGGGAACAGGTGGAGGTTTGATAGGGTAAGTATCCCTAGAAGATAAAACCCAACCAACCGCACCCCAAGCAGGGAGGACAGTCCCATGGTGTTTCGTTAACTGTCAATCCCCCTCTCCCTCCTGGGTTGATTGGAGGGTTGTTGGTTCTATCTGTGGCTGTGGGAGTATTAATGAGGTATGCGCTATAAAATGTGGATCACTGGCCAACAAAGAGCCAGCTTCGGAAGATCTGTCCATCCTGTCTCGCCAGGAGTACAGTAGAGAAGGTTGATCATTCTGATAAGTGTTGATCATTCTGATTAGTGTTTCTAGTGTTGAGCTTGGTTTCCCTTATCCGCATTAGCTTTGACTCTATGCAAGGGACCAATTGCCTCCTTGTTTCGTCCTTAAATACTGGGCGGAGAGAATGGAACACCATAGAGTATCCTTTATCTCCATGAGTCGAGATGGGAGGGCTGATGACCTAAAGGTCATAAATAGGCGCGTTGTGTTTCTCATGGTAGGCAGGAAGTGGAAATTTTCTAGATCTACATTTCGGTAATGGTAATTCAGGAGCTGAGACAAGGACATAGTAATTTGTCTGCGGTTCATCCACCTATGAGTGTATCGGTGAATCTCAAGCATTATCTGGTTCGTTTGCAAGACTTGACAGGACCTCACTTCATCCATAGATTGAGTTGGTGAGTTGTTAACAAAGTCATTTCTTATCATCCTTTTAAGCCCCTGGGCATTTAAAGGGGAGGAACTAGTATCCAATTGTTTCTCAATGTTAACTATTTTGGTGAGGATTTCATTCAGTCTTTGGAGAACCAGAACCATAGTTTCTGCAGACAACATGCAAATCTCTTGGTAGGGGTGCGTATCCGGAATTGGTTGAAAGCAGACTCCTCTGATATCTTGTTCTAGAGGCATGGGTGGGTCAGCGTTAGGAGTGGGAGGAATCCCTCCTGCTCCTGCTCTAGCCCTCTTGGATGGATTAGCTTTTTCTGGGAGGAGGGGGGTTGGGTCATTGTCATCCTCCTTAAGGGGGGGGGTAAGGTTCCCCCAACGTTGTTACTCACTGTTTGTTCTATTTGCTCCGTTTTCTTGGCTTCCTCAACCCGCTCTGTTTCTGAGCCAGGGAAGATGGCGTTGGCTCTCTGCCAATTCTTTGTTTTAGAGGAATTGTGAGTCCCAATAATTATCTTCTGGCTCTTTGCACCTCGTTTTCTCCTTCCGGCAGGCATATATATAAGGAAACCATTACGATTGTAACT